TGTTCAAACAGCACACCCAGGAGCACAAAACTCCAGAACAATAAGTGCTAGAGTTTATTCGTGTGCATTAATTGCATGTGTAGATGCCCTGCCTGCTTATACTTTGTTTTATCGTACTGCCTAGGAATCTGTCATGGACCAAGACCCCATGTTAGGTACTATAGAAACACAGAACAAAAAGATGATCTCAGCCTCAAAGCTAACAGTCTGAGAGAGGGCCACAAGAGTAGATACCCAATCAATTTTTGTTCAGTTTGTAATGATTGTGTCCCCAAGATTCCCTTTTTTGGTAGGTAATAAACCACAGACTTCTCAGAAAGTAACATAGGGAAATGTGTTTATATTGTCCTCATCGCTGTAGCAAATACTTCTTTTGTAACTGAATAATAGATCATTAAAGCTGACAATGCTAATGTCCACACCAACATGTTGATTTGTATGCCCTTAGAATCGGAACCAAAACAGAATCTGGTGACTTTAGGCAATTTGATACATAATTGTGATGGGGAAAAAATTGCAACTTCTCAGCAGTCACCTAGCCCTGGAAGCACCTTTTGACTCACTAGTTGCCTCCCTATGTTGCTTGGAAATTTCTTGGGTTCCAGAAAATAAGAAGCATTGCTTAATTCTCCAAAGGGGTCCAATTTTATAGATGTGCTCAGGGCAAATTTAGTAACCCCAGCCAAACTAAGCTCTTCACAAAATGTAGTTGCAGCTGCTGTATTCTTAATAACATAGAAATATGGAGCCTGTATCCCTTCTCTTTGTTATATAATAAGCATAATGTTAGAGCACTGGATGTGACACCCAGCCTAAGGACATTCAAACTGACTACTCCAGCCTCCCTAGACAGTGCAGTGTCCTTGCAACTATAGGAGAGGCGCACAAACCACTCTGTGGAAGCTGTTCTCTACTATGTAGAATTCAATTTAAGATTCAGGGAGCCAGGAAAAGAGATCATACCTATCCTAATTGTTAGAACCCTTGGCTTGGTAAAGGGAATCTTGGGTTCCTACTCCTGAGTGTGCTTAATTTTTTTATGACGTGTACATATTTTTGTTCAGTAACAGGTTTTTAAGGAAAAATGCATAAATGGTATTGGGAGAAGAAAGTGGAACCAAAGTGCCCTAACCTGATAGGGGAGAATGCTCCTACTCCCTTTAGTGCATATTTCTTCTGGAAGCACAAGTCCTGAATTCCTGACCTCATAGTGGCACAGCTTCAGCAGGTGGATGGAGAATGACCCCACTCACCTAGCACATGGCTTGTTGGTTAGGGAACTGTGCTGGAAAGAGGGAGATGGAAGAACTGAAACCTACCCCCAGTGCTAAGGTGAGGGTTGGACCTTCATTCTCACTGCTTGAGTGGCTGAACCAAACTACATTATTACAGAAAGAGAACACCACTGCTGGCTAAAGGAAAAGTGAGTTATTTTTCATTCTTTGGAAGAGTAGTTATAAGTATCTGCTTTGAGGGAGGACTCCAGACCGTGGATGCAAAGCTACCTTCTTGCACCTCTGCTCTAGCAAAGAGGAATGGGAATCCAGACACCACTGTGCTTGGCATGGGTTTTTTTGTTGTTGTTGTTTTTGGCTCTAAGTGCCAAACTCTGGGGTTTTGCATTCAACTCTGGGGCCTGGCACCTAAAAGTTAGGCATTGCAGTGCTGAACTTGTAGATGTTTTAAGCCTTATTAGAGAGAGCTTGTAGTCTTTACTTAAAGAAACCATTCCTAGTGACGGTGGTTTTCTTCATGCTTGCTTGTTCCTTGGCATTTTCTGAAATAGCACAAGGATGAAAAAAATCACATAAACAGTAACTGGATGTTGAAACAGACAGAAATATGAGACCACAGCCATAGGAAATAGACTATGATATCTTACCCTGCACTTCTAACTTTAAATGCAGCTTCTAGCTCCTGTCTAGAGATTTGTCTGAAGCATGCTGCTTCTGTTGGAGAATTTCTGCAAGTAGCTTCTCACTTTGCACTACCTATCTTCTGTCAGCTGGGTGACTTAGCCATCTAAAGCCTTAAAGACTTGCCTCGCGCAGCTTGTGAAGTACTTAACCTTATCCGGTGTTATTGTGAGGAAGCAAGAACTTAACCTTATCCAGTCCAGGAATTGTGAGAAGCAAGGATTTCTTAGGGTGATATCTTTTATTGGACTAACTGCGTAGCTTGGATAGTTAGACAAGCTTTCAAATGCAAGACATTCTTCATCAGGTCTTAATCCAAAAAAAGATAACACCTTATGAAATCCATGTTTCTAACCTTGCCTACTTATCTATATTCTTTTCTAATAATTATTGAAGGAAGATACAGTCTCAGATTTTTTTTTCTTCAAGGGTTGCGAATATGTATGGTGGGGGTGGGCAAAATATGGCCCTCAGGCTGGATTTGGCCCACCAGGTACCAGGGTTCCCTCTAAGGTGCATGTGTGCGCAGCTGCACACAACTAAAAGTCTGGTGTCACAACCTTTTCAAGGCCGCAAACCTGGAAGAGGAGCTGAAGGTAAGCTCCTAGGTGAGGTGGGGGCGGGAGCCTGGCGCGGGTTCTGCCAGTTCTGGGGAAGTGCCCCGCTTCACCTCAGGGAGCGAGAAGGCACATGGCATCAGGACCGGGAAGTGGAGCACTTCCCTGGAGCTGGCGGAGCCGTGCCAGCCCCCTGCCTTAGCCTCAACCCCTGCCTTGCCACACCTCAGGGAGGAGCTGCTGTCTGTCCCAAATAAGGTTCCGCTCCCCGGCCCTGACGCCACGTGCGTCCTCACTCCTGGAGGTGATGCGGGGGAACAGAGCGGTGTCCCGGAGCTGGCGGAGCCTCACTTTGGGCAGGCAGCGGCTCCTCCCTGAGGTGTGGCAAGGTAGGGATGGAGACTGGGGTGCGGGTCTGGTGCGGGCTCTGCGGGCTTCAGGGAAGCGCTCTATTCCCCAGCCCTGATGCGGGGGAGTGGAGCACTTCCCTGGAGCTGGCAAAGCCCGCGCCAGCCCCTGACCCCAGCTTCTGCCCCTGGCTCCAGCCTCTGGCCCCCGGCCTCTTGGGCCCAATCCTCAACCCCCTTCAATAAGTGTCCCATGCCAGACCCAGGTGGCACACTCATGGACTGAGGCAGCACGCTTATGGGAACATTGCCAGGCACTTTCATCCAGCCCATGGGCACCCACCAACAAACTGTGCCCTGCTAAGACCTACTCATGAGGGTGGGAGCAAGGCATTCGCATATATATACACACACCCTCCTGCCCCCCCCCAACACATACCCTGTTGTTCCTCGCTCCCACCCTTGTGGATGGAAAGGCCTGGCTCAGCCAGCAGCAGCTTCTGGGTGGGGCAGTGGCTGATGCTGCTGCAGCCATCCCAGTGGGAACTGCTTGCCTTTCCCAGTGACCCGCTGGCTCTGAGCAGCAGGGGTGGGGGGGAGCTACAGCTGGGTTGGAGCAGGGAGTATCGGGCTGGCAGCAGCATGGAGCCCATGTCTGGGGGGGGGGTGGTGGGAGTACAGAGCTCAGCTGGGCAGGGTGTGAGGGAGAGTCTGGTGTGGGGACTCCCTACACCCATGGAGGGACACTTGGGGTGCTTGTGTCCTGCAGTGGCACCCAGTGGCATTTAAAAAAATGACTGCAGCTTAACAGATAGATGAAACGCTACCTTTTTTCCCAAATTAGATTTACTAATACATGATACCCCATGAATCCCCAAATTGACCCTGCCTCTGTCTTCTAGTCTAGATGCTTCTGAAAGTCTGTCAAAATCACAATACAGTCACTATAAAAATTTATAGCAGCTGATGAAGCAGGCTGTTGTATATGAAAGCTCGTGGCTCTCTGAGCCAGTTTGTCTTTAGTGCCACCTTACTCTCTTTTGTTTGAAAAAAATCAAAAGCACAGCCCCACAAAATAACCACACCACAGAAGTAGAATTAAATAGAAATTTTCTGCTTTCCCTATACATCTGCTTTTTCATTGTCCATCTTAAAAACATGAACTATTCTGCATGCCTTCTAGGCAAAATAGTTTGGAATATTTTGATCTCGTGAATCATTCTAAAGGTTAAGGACTCCTAAATCAATCAATCTCTCTTTATGTTGGGATGGAGCCCCTTCATGTTGGTTTTCTTCAGCTATGGCAGTTAGTTAGGTGTGGTCTCAAAAACGACAGTCCTAAAACATTTAGTTTTTTCATGCCAGCACCCTTAATTCTCCCTTGCCTCTAGAAGCCTCACTGCTTGTGTTCCAGTCACACATCATCAAACTGATCCGTCTCTTTGACTCAGCTCACTTCACTTGGCTGTCAGCCACAGCTATGCCTAACCAACTGGGTCTGTGCTGTTTTACTTTGCACCTCTTGAATGAAGTGAAAGATGCCTTCCCCACCAGTGTGTGTGTCGCCCTAGAAGACCACCTTCCCATAAAACAAGCCCTCTCCAGTGGCAGCATGCTACACAGACCCTTTCTATTACAGTCTGTTTCTCTGGCTGTGAATACCAATGAGAGTGGTTGGCTGACCTTCTATGTGCCCACTGAGAACAGGGCTGGGATCTGCCTGCCTTGAGATCCTGTCTGGGAAGGCTCTTTACGCATGGACACTCAAAGTCGGTTTATATCCGTGTCCTTGCTACCTTTCGTAACATGACTTGGAGGCAGTGCCTAGTAGCAGCAATGCCAGAGCAAGCCTGCCCAGCCTGGTGCACCCTGCACAAGCTACCCATTGCCAAGAGCAGGGGTTGTCAACTGGGGGGATGCATACCCCTGGGGGTACTTGAGAAGGCCCTAGGGGATATGCGCGGGTTGGGATGGAGCACCGCCATGCACTATGCTGCGCAGGCACCAAATGCGAGTGGCGGGAGAAGCTTGTACTTCACCTGCCCATTTTCCCCCCTCCCCAGCTCCACATCTGGCTCCATGCCACCCCCCCCAGGTGTCTGGCCTCTGGGGGTACACTAATCCAAAAACGTTGAAAACCCCTGGCCAAGAAAACTAATGACTTCCAATGATGGCTGCTGCACGGGGTCCTGGCTATGGGCATTTTTGTTTACGACTTAGACCTGGTGGTGTTAGCAGCCTTCCTTTTCTATGAGGAGGAGGTGGAGACTCTCTGGACTGCTTCCCAGCTGTAGCTACTCTTTGCTGCTTTCAGCATCCTTTTGCACACTGGATTTGGACTTCTCCAAGGTTGTGTATATCTTCTCTGTCCCATACTGAATGGCCTAGGGAAGCATGATCTGCTTAGCTAGTTTCCTGCTGGGCCAGACCAACATAGCAATTTTGTAAAGCCACAGAAAGCAGCTTGCAAGGGGCCAGCTCTGATGACACCCTCCAACTCATGCAGTTCCTGGTCTGGGTGTCTGTCCTGTTTAAATTTGAGCACTTCACCTTACAACAAAATATGGGCCAGTTTGTGTGGCATCAAGGGGGCCCTCTGCAAGGTGGAAGATAGACAGCTCGTCCTGCATGTGTAACCCCATGAGGCATGGGGGAAGAGGTTTTGGTCTCCAGTAATGTGGTGTGTTTTGTTGCTAACAAGCATTTTATACTTGGCTCCTGAGACGGCAACATACCTTTGCACTTTCACCATTTGTTTTCAATATTTGTATAATAAAGTTTTTAAAGAGTAAAATAAATAAATGCAAAGAACTGAAGGTCATAATGACCAATCCTGAAAGGTGATTGTCCAGCAGTAATTAATAGAATAGTTACATTTTGAGTTTGCAAACATGAACAACACTGTGGGAAGGTGCCTCCTAAGTGGAAGAATAACTTTTGCGCTGGTCAGCTTGCTACCACACCTCTGCTTCATTTGAATAAAATTCAACTAGTTCATTCTCTTTAAGACTTTGAAAAAGACAGTAAATTCAGTACCCATATCTGCGTTGGGGGATATTAAAACATTTGCATTGGTCTTCTGGGTGAAAAATGCAGCAATCTATACTTCCTTACCCTAGCCTCCTAAGAGCCTCAACAGAGCATAGATGAGAAGTTTACCACCACAATGAGAATATCCTTATGGCAGAGACTCGCATCTAGCACTATCCTCTGGGATCCTGGTGTGAGAGAAGGATTAATTCACTTAAGAGTAACAATATGAACTTCTGATGAAGCCTGCAAATGTGCATATAAAAAACAACTCATGATCAGCTTTTGAAAATATAAATAATTTCACCATAGATGTGTTCTTCACCTATTTTTAGGTCATCTATCATTGTGATGGGGTTTTTTTTAATTGATACCTAGATTGAAAAAGGTCAATAAAATGAGATGCTTAGATATTGATGATTGTAACTTGATTCCTTTGTTTCAGTATTTTCAGTTGCCTTTTTTCCTCCCCTTCTTCTCTAAGAAAATTACTTTTGAAGCTTGAACACGTCAGCCTACCACTAGACTTTGTGAGAGCCACAAGGACCTGATGGCTTGCAGGTCTGCTACAAAGAAGCACTTTCAAGTGCTTTGTGACAGTTGAATGTCTATAACAGAAGTTGGCTCCTGATGTGGTCGTCTTAGGTTGTACTGTTAATAATCAAAGGTTGCATTCTGCATAGGTAAAATGACTTGTCAGAAGTGCAGAAAATATTGAATTATTTTTATTAGGCTTTTGCCTTTGAATATTTGCAGCTTAACTTCACATTAAACATTTAAATACAGTATTTATCTCTAAATTAATGTTGTAGCATATAAGCAAAAACTTAACTTGAAAAGAGAACAAGTATAAGAAAGGAGAATTATTTAACTTGTAGGTTTTGAATGTCAGCATGACCTGTTTGTTTAAAGAAGATACATTTGTCATTCTGATGAAGATGTTTTTTTCCAGACCTCACTGCTGACAGAATCTCACCCACTTTTCCCATTTATTATGATAATAGTCTACTGCATGTCATGTGCTGCAGACCAGTAAAGTTATCTTTGCCTTTATTGTTTTGCATATACTTTACAGTCTGACTATAGATAGTTGTATGCCCTTTAACTTTCCAAACGTCAATTTTGCAAGAAAATAAGTGATCTTGAAAAATTGAGAACTTTTTAGAGTAACTGAAATGCCTCCAGTATTCCAAGCCCATGTATCCTTCATAAGTGCTGAAATGTGTATCTGTTTATAAATTGCATCTCTAGAGAAACAGTCAAACTTCCTGAAATGTTCAAATAATATGACTTTAATATTTTTGCATCTAAAGAAATAAGCGTGTAGGTACAATAGTTTCTTTAAAAGCTTTTTCTAGCCTTCTTTTAACCTAAGCCACTCTTAAAATGATTTTTAATTGAGCCTTAATGACTGAGTAAGATGTATCACTGTTTCTAATGTAGGTATAAGATAATAAATACTAAAAGCACAAAATGCTTGCTTTTTAGGTTTAGTGGCCAAAGTTGCCTTTTTGAAATACCATCTAAATATGGTTAACATTAATTTGTTGTAAAGTTAGCTTGGTATACCCCCATACCTCCTCCAGGTATGCCTGAAATGAGTTTTTGTATAAACATAGTAGTGAAATGGCGCAGTGTCTTTGTTCAGGTCCCGCAAACAGTTTGAATTTCTAATCCTGTCCATCAGAAACATGATGATTTTGCTTGTGTTCAGCACTTATAAATTATCCTTATGGAATCTGTCTGTCTCTGATTGGGAGGTGGTTTCAATGTAGTTCTCCACAGTGTAGTAACATGTAGCCACGTAATGTTACATACAGCTGTTTGCTGCATCTGTTGATATCCATGTGGCTTGCTTTAAGTTGCCTAAATGTAGACTGGGAGGGGCATGGACAGCTATTTGCTGCTGCTGGGAGCTGTATGGAGAAGCTGATACAAGTAACTAGAGGGGGTTGGAGTAGCTCATGGGTTTGGGGGAAGGGCGGCTAGTGTGTCTGCAGGAGGGTTTGGTGCATCCAGGGTAGGTTGGCGGGCCCAGGAGGGGATTGGGGCAACAAAAATAGCTCAGTCAAGATCGGGTTGAGGGGGGAGAGTGAAATAGCACAGCCCAGGGACTAGGGAGAGTAGCTAGACTGTCCTAGCCTGGGAACTATGCTGCAAATATGTGCAGGCATTGGTGAGATGGTTGCATCTTTTCCGGAGCTGGCTAACCTTTCTTGGTTAAAGTTCAGTGGTGACTTAAATTGTGCACATCTTTTTTTTTTTTTTGTGTGGCCAAATTGGCCTGATCCCGGAGGTGTGCAAAGGATCATTTAGCTCGACCTAACCATGATTAGGTCAATCTAAATATAATGCCTGTATGTACCCTAAGGGTGTTGTATTTTAGTGCAGTCTTATTCCACAGAATAACTTCATTCCACCCCAGAAAGATATTTGAGGTCTTATTTTGTTATGAATATGTATAGGCCAAGTAGGCTTATTGTCAATGAAAATGATTTCTACTCATCCATCATGTAGTGGATATGTACCAGGGGTGGGCAATTATGTGGGCCTGTGGGCCACATGAGGAGTTTTGTTGAGCTGTGGCATCCTGGGTCAGTACCCAGCCCACTCCATCACCAGCTTGCCAAAACTCTGTATGTGGGATAGGGCAGTATGCTGGTGGTTGGGGAGCAGTGTTTAGGAGTGGGACGGGAGGGTGAGGGCAGGATTGTGGGGCAGAGACAGTACAGGTCTGGGGCTCAGAGTAGAGCTGTGATTTGCTGCCTGCACACCTCTGTGACAGATACGGGTTTTGTGGACAGGGGTGTGCAGGGAGCAGATCACAGCCCAACCCAGCCCTGGCCCTGTGCCGTCACTGCCTCAAGACCCTGGCCCTGAACACAGCTCCCCACCTGACCATGAACCCTGCCTGCACAGCTCCTGGCTGTATATATAGTGTATACATTTAGATAATATATGTGCTTATATGTATATCTGTATTGTATTAACAAGTTCTAGAACCTGTAACTTGGTAATTTTAGCAATCCAGGGCCTATATTCAGGAGTTGGCTACATTGTAGATCCTTTCAAACAAATACCAGGTTTTCAGGGGAGGTCTGTTTATGAATTCCTATTTAGTTTTCTTCTTGATACTATATATCCTATATAATATTATATTCTATGCTATATCTTAGTATAATATTCTATATACAATCACCCGTTCTAGAGAAGCTTAATAACTAGTATTGACTAGAAAACTAAATATGTATTTTATATACAAGAAGCTTTCCATGGCTAAGCTTGCCAGAAGAATACTAGGCATCTGCTGCAGGTGAGAATATTTACCTAGTGACATTTTTAAAAGCCAAGACAGGTGTGTGCAAATTTTAAGTGACATGTGATTAGGAAGTGCCACACTTGAAACCAAGATCTGATTTTAATCATCTTGTATGTAGCAGAAAATTCATTATCTGGTTGGTAACAGTTTATTTTTTATTGGTCATCTCCAAATTTGCCTAGAATATTGTCTCTTCTATGCATTGTTTAAGTAAGTGTGTGATACATGGTATCAGTATTAAGCTTGTGGTAGCCCACACAGAAATTGAGTCCTCTTTTGGCACAATAACATAGGTGAGGCCTATAGACTGATAACTGTAAATGACTCCAAGTGCTAGCGTTTCCTTGATTTCCTTTTCCGAGTTCTGGGCTATTTTCCCTGTAGCTCTGAAAGGTGAACACCTGATAGGGAGTTTGTGCCCCATCACCTCCTGGTGAACAGCTAAATTAGTGTGCATCAGATTGCTGGAGGATAGCTATTGGTAGCCTGTATTAGCTCTCTGATTTCTGACTTCTGTGACAGGTTAAATTTGTCAGATTGGGATGAATTTCAGTGTCAAGCTGTCTTTTGCCTGTGCTGTCAGATCTAACAGGGGGTCATCCTTGGCTTTTTCCCACTGTCCACACATAATAAAGACCAACCCTTGCCTGTCGTGTTCTTCATAGCTACATGATAACCCTGCCTTAGAAGATTAAGGTTCCCCTTGGAACCTTGAGGTTCCCCTTGAAAGATTCCAGCTCTTATTCGCTTGTTTTTTGATGACAGAAAAATTAATGAAGCAATTCTTCTGTTGCAAAAATCTGATTTGTAATCAGTCAAAATGTTTTTGACACTGTGAATGCATATTTGAAAACTTTGGGTTTGCCTTGTGGATTATGTTTACACAGCTAACAATGCTAACATAGCATTGCACCCTTAAAAGGATCTTAAGGCACTCCAGGGTGCTGTGGCACTGTGGCTAAAAATTGGTGTTTTGTCATAGTGATAGCAGTATGACTTCCCATCGTTTAACTATTTGATCACTTCAAAGGTCTCCTTCCAGGCTGCTTGGAGCTTGTTTTTCTGTACAAGGTTCAGCTGAGGTGTCCTATATAC